GCTCCTTCCCTGCCTGGGGTGCCACCCCCCACCCTTCTTCCCCCCCCACTTACCTGTGGTTCCAGCATGGGGCAGCCACGTGCTCCCAGGCCAGAAGCCCCAGGCTTCCCCTGGGTCCTACTGCCCTTGACTCCTGTCATTTTTGACAGGAACTAAGGGCAGAGAAATATTAATTTTCTACATTTCTTAGGGGCCCCGCAGGCCTGATCCAGCCCATGGGCCGTATTCTGCCCACCCGAGTTAACCTTTTTCTCTCGTAAGTTCTCTTGTGAGCTTTATATTCAGCCCAAGATGAGTTCAGATTTTAGTTGGCCTAATAAAAGATATCAGATTTACCCAAAGAACCTTGTCTGCCTATGCCCTTAGACTAACAAGGCTACAACCAATACCCTTGAACCATGGAAAGGTAATCACACAGAGTTGTGAAAAGTCATTTTTAAATTAGTTCAGTTGTTTAATCAGACCAGAAATTACCATACAATTTAGGTGACTGACCATATAACTCCTAACAGTGAATCTCAAGCACTGAATACAAACAGCTAGGTAGCAAACTAATAGTCTAAAGTTTGTTTACCAATGCTACTCAATTATAGGCAAACACACTGATAAAAATCAACCTAAATTGCAAACACAAATATTTCACGATCAAATTCAAACTTCCAACCAAGAGGGAATACCATGGACATTTCAGTGTAAACCACGAGTTGGCAATCTAGACTCAGGCTGGTGTACCTGGGAGGTGGGCTTCCACATTGTTTTGGGTGCAGGGGGCTGCAATAAGAAAAGCTACAGCAGCTGTGACGCTATGGAATGGGCTGGGTTGGAAGCAGCCCATGCTTAGCGCTAAGCTCACTTAGAAGAGCACCCCCACTTTCCCCCAAAAATGTTACCAACTCTGGCTCTGTGCTGTGTGCAGCCTGAGCCATACTGGCTCCACGTGGGCTGGGGCCAGCACATGCTGCATGCGACAAGTAGCACTGTGGGCCAGATGATACAGCTCTGCAGGCCACATCTTTGACACACCTGCTGTAAAGCATGTCTTATATTTAGTACAAAGGCATACATTTCACACAGGTTGATCACAGGGATCTACGTACCTTTTTGCACATACTGTAGATCATTTCAAGATATTTTGTGTCAGACAGAAGAGTGCCTGTGTCAACAGTAACATAGTTGTGCAAGAGAGGCATCATATCTGTATTAAACAAAAGCAGTCAGTTAGCTGTTGGACATATCTTTCCTATGGCTAGCTGTTGTATACAGCTTTCAGTCTGTTTTTAAGATGTTAAACACAGAGAGGTTGGCCAACATACTGGACTATCACCTGAAAAGTGGAGTTTTAGATAGCTTAAAATAAAACAGCCTTGGTCACTGGCACAGTAAAATAATGTATAGAAAATATAGTGTCCTTTGGCTATTCTTTAAATTTAAATGAAGACACATTTCATTTTATATCTGGAATCAAATTTATGAAACCCACTATCCTTGGGCCTTATTTTTTAATCAGGATTTCTTACCAGTAAAATAATCAAAGCCATCTTGCTGAAAGACTTCAAAGACAAGAGGCAAAAGCTGCCACATCTGTGCAGAGACTTGCTGACAGGTCAGACTGTGAGCCAAGGAAAATATCTCCTCATAAAATTCTGAAACATAAGGAATTCTTCATTAAACTGAATGTTGATCACATAGATTTCAATTAAGACCAAAAAAAAAAGGTGCAGGTACCTAAAACATGCTGCTGTAAAACTGTTCCAATTACTTGCAAACAGATTCCTTCCAACTGCTGGGTAATCTGAAAAAAAGAGGGTTAAATTAATTTCAAACACTTCAGAGTTGGGATTAAATACACAGTTTAAAAACAAAATCCTTTTAGAAAGCTTTTCTAAAGTAAATTGTTTTTTAGAAGATGACACAAAATTACAAATCTTAAAGGAAGTCCTAGTGTTAGAACACCATATTACAGCCGTACGCTTACAGCTGATGACCTCAATCTTTCTAACAGAACCTTTTTGGTGGAACACTATTACTCTTTGGGTGCTGGAAGAAACGTATTTCGAGGTTCCTTACTTATGTTTGCTATAAAGCTTGTTCTTTTAATTTTTTTCAGAAAAATATTTTAGTCTTCATAAAACTAATAGAGGTACTCAACTCCTGGCCTGCAGGCCAGATCTGGCCCCCCAGTGCCATGTCATCCATCCCGTGGGACTCCTCATGGATCAGTGGGGAGCCCCACAGGCCATGGCCCTGTGCACTAGATTGGACACACAATGCAGTGGGGCCTGATCTCAAAACAGTCAGGGGATGGCAGCACAGAGCCCAGAAACTGATCGTAGCAGGTTGGACCAGGTGGAGACAGTGCAGGGTTCAAGCCAGCCCACGGACAGGCCCCAGGCCCCGCATCTGACCCATGGGGCTCAAATATCAGGCCCAACTTTTATAAAATATCTGCATATCTAATATAACAGCAAAGAAAACCACTGAGTTTGGAAAAAAAAATCCCTGTCCCACAGAACTCAGATTTCAAGAGTCTATCCGATTCAGACCAGAGACTTCAATTTCTGTCTCTTATCTCCAGTATGTACCCCAACCACCCAACTTGGGGTGGGTGAGCTACTGAGTCAGTCTTTCTTTTCCCAGTGAATAAACTGATAAGAACAGACTGAATTTTATTAGTAGATGTTTAGAATTGTGAATCCAAAAAAGATGACAAAGCCAGTAGGGAAATACAGCTCGCCCAAGCGAGGGACTAACATAAGAGGGATGGGGGTGAGGAGGGGAACGCAACTAGGTTACAGAAAATACAATGTTAGTCAACTAAGCCCGGGGTACTACACTTGATCTGAGCCTTCAAGAGGCCAAAAAGATTTATACCAACTGCAAAAACAAACAGTCTGGTGGTTAGGGCACTCTCCTGAGACTGGTGATAGTAAGAGCAGGGACCCAAACTGAGTCACCTGCACACACACAAGTGCCCACAGTGCTAATCACAGGTTTGGAAGGGACCTTGAGGGCCAATTGGTCCAACCCCCTGCAAAAATACTCTATTATCCCTGTCCAATACTCTTCTTGTTGCTTCATTGAAGGTGATTCCTTAACTTCCCTGGGCAGTCTATTCTACCACCTTACTGCTCTAACAGTAAGGAATTTTTTTCCTGAACTCTAATCTAAATCTACTTTGCTACAGTTTATAGCCACTGCTCTACATCCTACCCTTTGTGGCAAGGTTGAGGTTGCAGTCCCTTTTCTATCAGATGTGTGAAAGTTGCTAGTGCCCTATCGTAATCACCTTCTCTGAAAGCTAAATATCCCCAGCTTTCCTCCCAATCCCCTTAAACATTTTTGTTGCCTGCCTTTGTACCCTTTGTAATTTCTCCATCCTTTTTTAAAAAAAAAGAAAAGAAAAATCAGAAGCGAAGGCAGGCCTTGAATAGCAAGAGTATCTGTTGGACAAATTATACTCAGACTAGAGGCACCACACATACTGTACTAGCAAATCTCAATAGTGCAGATTTACCTTTTCTGAAGGATCTAGCAACACAAACTAAACAGATAAAACCCTAGTGCACTGATTTTGACCTTATGCAGATCTTCTAACATTCTGCTGTGTGGCAAGCAGAAAATGAAATCAGCAGACTGTTGTAAGTTAAGTGCTATTAGGTGTATTTTTCCTCCAAGAACTGATTACATCAAGGCAGACATTTCTAGCACAGCTGGCAAAATTCTTTTATTTTAAACAAACACACAAACTGAGGAAATGATATCTCCCAGTTCTAGTTGTTAGTCTCCATTTGCTGTAACATATAGAAGAATTATATGTTACAGGACAGCACATTTTCAATGGCGAGTATGTTATGCTCTGTGATTGTATATACCATATTAGACACACAAAGCCCACCCTGCATTGATTTAAAATATCTGTGTATAGGTGTATAGAAGTGTTTCAGCCATTTCCAAGATGTTCAGGCTGAAACAGTATAGATTTTCAAGATTTACCATTATACACTGACTTTTTTTTTAACCAAGCTACTGTACTTTCCAGTGTCAAGGCATTTAATGGCTTAGAAAGAATTTTTCTTTACCTCTTTGTGATCTTCAACTACACTGAGAAGTGTATCTATGGTGTTCAATATTCCCATTGCTGTCACTGCTTTGTCATCACTGCCTTCTTCATCTGGTCCAGTCTGGATTACCTGATTAAATGTCATTGCCTGAAGAACAATGAAATACCAGTTAAATGCGTCATTTAAGTAGCTTTTTTTTTATTTCAAAAAGGATATACCTAGGGATGATTGCACAAGTTCAAGACTTTCTGAAAGTTTGAGTTTTTTTTCCTTAAACAATGAATAAAAGTGAATGCTAATTACCCCAAATCCTTCAAAGACAGATTTTTTTCCTGACATTGTTTAAAAAAAAAACCCCTATACTTTTCAATTTTTGCAACTCTCAGACATTTAAATACAAAGATTTAGAACTGTAAGTTACATTTCATCATATGCAACAGAACTCAAGAGAATTACTAAATGGTTTAACAAACAAGACAGTTTTTCTAAAACACATCTGGAGTACATTAGATTACTGTACATGCACTACTAGAGTAAAGAGTAAAATTAACATTTTCAGTTTTTATAAACCACTACCCTAAGCATGAATGGCCTGATTTTAAAATAAGCAATCTGGCTGCCATGCTCATCAAACTGCAAGTACAACATACCGATGTTTAAGCATGCAATTGCACTTACAAAATCAGCTGCTACGTGTAGGTGCTTTTAGTTTAAAAAACTAATATTTAACACCCAATCTGCTCCTAAATCCACTTTAAAAGTAGAAAGAATAACAATGTCAAGTAAGACGGTGTGAAATGATTCTACAGTATGCACAAAAATGAGTTACAAGGGTTATTTAGGCTGAAGTAATGACTGGTATTTCATTATGGGATATGTTTGCTATTGTCCTCTAATGTACCCCAACAGCAGCTTTTGAACACAGGGCAGTCCAAACAGCAATAAAATTATTGAGCTACCTTAACATGTTTAATCGAGCTGGTATGCAAATCAGCTGACAAGTGACAGTCATCTTTATTTCCATCATGTTAAATATTCTTCTTCAGTGCAAGATCACAAGTCTTACCAAATGCTGGGTCATTTCCACTGCAATGGGAGTAACCTCTTCACTATATTCACAGATCATTTTTTGAATCACATTAGTGAGATCATCATTTTCAGTCTCTCTTATAATATGAAGCAGTGCCTGCATTACAGGCCTAATGAATGGTGTAATATATTCCTTAGCTGCAAGATAAATAGAAGGAAAAACAAAAAATTACGTTGATTCTTACTTTGTGATACTTAACACCCAACCATATAGGCATAAGAAAACAAATCAACACACACTTAAACGTCTGATATGTGGTTTTCATACAACTAAAGCCAAGACATTAATAAAAGATTACTACAGTACTATTAAAAGTTGAAGACAATTTAAAAAAAAAAACCATGGAAACTTATTTATACAGTGATAACACGCAACAGTAAAAACACCTATGTCAAGTTTAATAAAAACAAGGTGTTGCTTTTAGACTCCTAACTCCAGCTGGGAAGTAAATAACGAATAATTATATGTTGCAAGGTCTGTTTCTTTTTAAACTTACTGAGCCAACACAGAAGTTGTTCCACCCCCCTAAATATGTCAAGCATTTTATCCCAAACTAATGCTGGCAAACTACCATCAGTAGAAAATAAGGAAATCTGACAAAAAGATTCTCTTGGACATTCATGCTTAGTCCATAGAAAGACTGCATTATATCTTTTTTGCTTCAACTGTGTTTTCTTCTGAAATGCACAAGGAGATTTTTCTGCCTGAAAATTGGAAAAAAAGGGAAAGAGGTACCTTTTTCTTGATTACTAATCAGAACCTGAAGTGCTATGGCAGCTTCCACTTTCACAGGCATTTCCCTATCATCAATCAGACATCGTCTTGTGAGTTCGAGGGCTGTCTGGAGGTTCTGGTCACTCTTAAATTTAACTTCACAAAAATAATGAAGGACCCAGCAAGCCTGAGGAAAAAAAAAGATTCTTAAACAAAGAAAGGGGATGTTTAAAACTGCATCAGTGAATGGGCAATTATCTATAAGCAAAGTAGTAATCTAAAAATCTATGGTTCATCAGTATTTTAAACACTGTTTATTAATTACAACACTATAAAACTTTCAAAAAAGATGTTTGAGAATTTGGAGGCTGGTCAGTGGTAAGTTTGTCTTTTAGACTTCACTAGACCAGTACTATGATCTCAAGTTAATCTTTGGCCACAGGTTCTATGTGAGCAGTACAGTCTAAATGCAAAACACAAATACACCATACCACCAGACACAGATGGGAACTATGCACACAGTACTGCAGCCATTTTAAAGAAAGTTTGTTACAGCTTACAAAATCAATATGCTTATGAGTAAAAGTCATTACAGAAAGATGCAAATAGCATGTTAACTTGTAGCAAGATGTAATGATTTGTCTTCTCCATGTTTTACTGCAGAAGACAAACATTCAAATAAATTATATATTGTATAAGTTCCTATGCATATGCAGTTCTTACCCGTGCTCTCATGTAACCCAGCTCACTGCTGAAGAGAGGGAACACATGATTCTGCAACATATATTCCATCTGATCTTTGTATATCTTCTTCTGTCAGAATATTAAGACAATGACATCAGTTTGTGTTTTTAAAGAAAAATCAAAATAAGGAAAAATAGTTATTAATCCATCTTCTCATTTTACACATAAAAATGTCAGTGGAAGTGGTCAAGAACCCTTGACCAACCCCAAGAGAAAAAAAAATTCTTCCTAATATACCTGATTTGAAGTAACAGAAAGCTTTCCTATTTTCAACCAACAACATACATTTTTTTATCCTGTCATCCCTTGGCTCTTGAAAACTCTCTCTCCACTCACCTTAAGCAAACAAGGTTGCCAAACTCATTACAAAACTAGTGTTTTTTTCTTTAACAGGAAAAAAGGGGGACTAGCTACATCTGTATGTCCTGACCAAAATTTTCTAATATGAAAAGCCAGGAATTTAGCTAAGTAAAAGAAAAAAAAATCCTGCATAACAACTGTCTTCAGATCAGAAGCCAGAAAAAAAAAAAAAAAAAAAAAAAAAAAAATTTAAAAAATTAAAAAAAAACCAAAAAAAAAAAAAAAAAAAAAAAAAAAAAAAAGTTCTAGAAACTTAAAAAAACCCCATTAAAATAATATTACCATTCAAAAGTATTCACGTTCTTTGGTGTCAACACATCAGAAGTATGCATGCTTTTTTCCGCAGTTTAACTTTAAGAGACTGAGGCAAAAACCTGTACAATAACGTTTGCAATCGTTTAGAAGCCATATAATTAAAGTTCCATGATGAGGGAGTGGGAAACATCGACTCCTATACCAAAAGACTGAAAATTCAGGGAACTAAATCTCCATTATTTTAAAACTTGGGTTGGGAGGAAAGGATAGGGGAAAAAGAACCAGGAGACCCAGTAGATAAAAATGTGTGCTTACTTTTAGAGATACACAAAGCTCTTGGACCAGAGGCAATATCTTTTATTAGACCAACTAACTTATTAGACCAACTTACTTTTAGAAGAATTTCAGCTAAAGAACCAATCATATGCAGAGCACCATCTTTCTTACGAGGATCAGCATTTGGCTCTGTGAGGATCTGATAACAGAAGCCCATAGTTTTCTGCAAAACCTAATTTAAGTATAATGGGTGTTAGTCAAAATAATACAGACAATTTCTGAAATACCACTCTCCATTCTCTAAAGTGCTGAAACCCCTTAAAAATATTTTATCTTAATAAGTCTAGAATTTAAATAGTACTTTATACTGCCAACAAAACATTGCCACTTTGATATATAACACCTTGACACGTTAGCAAACTATGCTACTTCACCTTAGAGTAAACAGACTCCTAACAATGGATGACTATCAAGCAAATGTCTAGAAAACAGTAGGAACCATAAAGTTTACTGTAATCCTGCATATTATAAAGACCATCTTTTGTTTTAAATCTCACTCAGTAAAATGCAATGAAAATATCAAACACTGTGCATAGCTGGTTTGTTTAATCCAGAACTAATCCTTAAATAACTTACCTCTTTCCTTTTACTACATGCTGTAAACAACAACGTCTGAGCAGCAGTTGTAGGGGAAATAAAGTCCTCAAATACATCTATTAAATAAATTTAAAACAAACTATAAACATATGTCCTTTAGTACAAGTCACAATGCTAAAATAATCTTAGGTCTAATGCAAAACAAGAGTAATACATTTTAGTTTGAAGTGGTGGTCACCAAACTGTGATATGATATTAAAGACATTTCAACACAGATTTCATGTTCGTTGAAAACAAACTCCTATTTTGAACCCACAAGGCATACAGACAAGTGTTCAACCCTTTGCCTGATTTCCGTCTGCATTGCTTCTAAATTTGAGATTGTAAAGTTCCTTGCCCCAAGGAATTTCTTTCATGTCTGCAAAGGAACTAGCACACTGATTACACTTTGGAAATATGTATCAGTTGCTGTAATAGCCAGCCATAATTGACAGAGCTGAAAAACTAGGGGTTTTCTACAGAGTGACTCTTTCAGAACCTTATAAAAAGGTAGTAAGGATTGCACCTTGGGGTTTTACTCTCTCAAGCAACCATTGGGATTCTGGCATACTATGGTCCCAGACAAGTTGAAGTCTCAAAGTACATCCTATTCAGGAAGTCCCAATTATTCCCTTTTCATGACTACTGAGGATTAGGCCACAGGCATATTTCAAAGATAAAAGAAAGAGCCAAATAGCTATTAGCACGAAAACTAGAATCGGAACATACCAGACCTGAAAAGCAACTACTGTATTTGCCATATACACTTTTAAAATTACATTTGGGTAACTGTTTTTTGAGCAAATAAAATTAAAAGACCGTAAGTCTATCTGAATAAAATTTGCAGAATTTCCAAGTTTGATTCATTCCTTTAAAAGCTATAAGGAGTAGCTGCATCACTATCTAAGCATCTTGTTAACATAATTTAGCTTGGTCACCTACACTGAGAACAATACGCCTTAACAATTCAATCATCTGTAGGTATACTGATAAGCACCGAATACCTCACTTAAAAATAAAAGCACCACACACTTAAAAAAAAGAAAAAAAAAAAAAGAAGTATGCCACATCTTTTGTTTCACAGAATAAAAAAAAATACTAGCTTTGTTTCAAATTATTTTAATTGTATAAATGTAAATTTTAAAATTCTCACCAAACTTCATGCGTATATATTCATATGGGTCTTCCTGCCACAGTTCCTCATCAGCATCTGTATAGCACATCAATGGAAAAATAACATCTTGGATAATTCCCTGCAATTAAAAAGTAAAAAAAAAAAAACAAAAAAAAAAAACAAAGAAGAGCCTAAAGCTATTAAACCAGACCTGATTTCCTTTCCTCTATATTAAAACAACTTACAAATTTCTCCTTTATACTTTTTAAAAAAATAGGACAGAAGCACTCCCACATTCAAGGCAAACAGTTAAATTGTTAGAATGAGGAAAATCCAATATGTTCAAAATGTAGGTAGAACTATAAGGCAATGCAAGAAATTATGTTAATTCAAAATGTAGGTAGAACTGCAAGGCAATGCAAGGAATTGTGTTTAATTTTGTACAGTAAGATGGCCAGATGCTGACAATTCTGAGTTTGTTGTGGTACTGTGCTATGCTGTACATTTCTAATCCTTAAAAAAACTCCACAACGATAGGCTCAATGCATCAAGGACAGAAAGGGCTGATGTTGTCCAAGAGCTTTGTAGACCTTACTACATTAAGAGGGTTTTAATTTGTAAGTCTATTTGGATATCTCAGGTCCCAAAATGACAGTAACCTATCTTAATATTATAAACACATGTCTTAAAAGTCTTTAAAAAGGAGCCTTTACCTAACTGGGATTTGGCTGTTATTCTGACTGGGAGAGTGTATTAATGGTCCCAAATTTTGCTACAATTTACACACAGGCTTGAAGTCAATGGCATCACTCCCAGTGCATGAAGTTAGCACATGTGTAAGATTTTGCAGGGCTGAAGCTCATGTGTTGCATTACCTAAACGCCTTCAGTTCTAGCCAAAAGCCACTGACAGACATGGAAAAAAAACCCCACAGTGCTTTATCAGAAGAGGAAGTGCATCAGTTTGACCTGGCTTGCCCAACATCTGTATAGACAATACGCTTCAGCAGGGCTTTTGGCCCTCATATCTACTAGCTGATTGAATCAGCTAGTAGATAAAAGCGCCAAAAAGCCCTGCTTAAGCGTGAAATCTATACAGATGTTGGGCGAGCCAGGACAAACTGACACAATGCCTCTTTTGGGCATGTGTTGCACTTGGCGCAGGGGCACGCTGAGCTGAAAGTACATTAAATGCATTTTTGGCGCCAGGAATGGGCCTCAGAGCTTGCTCCAACCCCTCCACGCATTGGGCCCAGTATTCAGTGCCTCTGGTCCTGGTGCCCGCTCCCCTCCCAGGGGAGCGCCTTCCTCCTCTGTGGTTTCCAAAAGCAGCAGGGGCAGGGCCACGACCCCTGGGCAACCCCGGGGGCAGACCCTATGCAAAGGGCCGCCGCCAGGCACCCGGACCCGGGCAGGCAGGGGGTGCGGGCTGGGAGCCCGCCCAGCCTGCGGGGGCCCACCGTGGCGCCGGGGGCGGCACCCGGAGGGCTGGGGAGGCTAGTGGGCCAGGGCCTTCCCCGCTACAGGCAGGCCTTGCAGCCTCTCTCTCTGTCTCTCGCCCCCTGGCTCAGCGAGCACTGTTTTATTTTGTTTTATTCACGTCTGAAAGAAGCCAGAGGCTTTATAATGAACCAACCAAAACAGGGGGTGGCAACCTACAATTCATGGGCTAGATTTGGCCTACACAGCCAAGGGACTTCTGAGGCATTTCAGCAGCACAAGGCTTCGCCCATATGGTAGAGATAAATGGCAAAAGCATCACTGCCAAGGCAAGACAGAAGGAATGCTAGTTGGAACTGAGGCTGCGCTGAGAACTAACCTCTGTTAAATCAGCCCCCCACTGCAAAACACTGTCAAACCCTGAATCAAACGATAACTCAGTAATTTAGATAGTAATCCCAGAAAATATTTTACTTGAATATGAGGTTTCAGATTCTTCCAGGTGACAGCATGTGACACTCCTTGATTGATGTAGTTGAGTGTTTGTTGCAAAACTCTAGGAGCCATGTACTGCTTTTCCTTGTACTGATAGAGCACCTTCAGTAACACCTATAGAAATCAAATCTCATTAATAGTTTATAAAAATTCAAGTGTCTGGACAGTAACAAAAAGCCATTTAATCAGATTTCAACTATTTTTCACCTGCCACAAAGCCCCCCCATAGTCTTGCAAATGTAGATTTTTACTATAGTAAAATGGATGTTGACTTATTTAGTTAATACATGAAGAGTTGTGCTGTCTGTGCCACTTCCAGTTCACCAACACAAATGGAGTTAATTTGCTGAGGTAATTTTCAACATTATAAGAAGTGACAAATTGACAATCCTATTTTAGAAAAGACATTATTTAGGTCAGGGCTGGCCTACGTCTAAGTGGCTGGGGGACTGCACACCATGGAGCTGCAACCATGAGGGTCACTCACATTAGTGAGAGCCATGGGCCACTGGACTACACATGCCCCGTGTGCTGTACATGTGTGCAGTCCCACACACACCACTGCACAATGCACCCCTGACACTGTGGGCTGTGCCACCCCCACTTCTTGGGATGGGAGCAGGAAGTGAGAGCTGATGAGGGGGGAGACAATGGACCTAGAGACCCTGGCTACAGCAGCAGCCAGAGGAGAGCAATGGCCAGGTAGAAGCCCAGGGGCCAGACATCATCCTTTTGCAGGCTACATACAGTCCTGGACCACCAGTTGGACAGCTCTGATTTAGGCAATGGTGCCTCAAACTAGCAAACTACCACAGTTTGGGAACATGGTTCTAATAATGGAGCTCTTCAAAGTCCAGGGTACTAACTCTTGCAACTCACTGGAAAACTCAATAGCCCAATAGCTGCAAACAGAAACAGGAAGCCCTCACATCCTGAAGTGGGGCAGGGGGCAGTAAAGGGGGGAATTTTTGCAAAGGAGTGTGGCAGCCTCTCCCCGATTGGCTAAGGGGCCCAACTGTCAATTTCTGGGGAGGGGCAGGAAGGGCCTACCCACACCTCCAATTGGCCAAGGGGCTCCAGAAGTCCCCCCCTCCCTGGAGATTGATAGATGGCCATCTGTCAATCTCTGGGGAGGCATAGGGGGGGTGTCCCTGCACTCCACAGCAAAAATGGTGCCCGGTGCTGCGCTGGGACCACAACATCTGGAGGCAGCTGCCACAACTTGGGTAAATCCTTATCTGTAAATACCAAACATAAGTTATTTGTCTTCACATTCACCATTCTTCATGGCCTATCTCCCCTTTTCAATAACCATCTAGTCTCAGTGTTCCTAAGAAGGTTACAAAGTAGCTACTGTTGGCCACCTTAGGATGGCAGCAAAACATCCACATCCTAGGGATCCCTTAATGGTCAAGATCCACCCTAGAACCTAGCAAGAACGTGGTGAACATCCTTGCAGAACTTGGAGATGTTAAAGTCTTACGCAGTTAAAAAGTGATTGTAAATACCCTCTATTCCATATCTATTTGATCAAGACGTAACTTCCTGAGTGACTTGGAAGCTGACAAGATAGGCAAAGAATGTGAAAATCAACTGAAATGTTAATGCACTGATAAGCAAAACAAAGCAGGGCTGGGTAGCACTTTAGAAACTAACTAGTTCAGAGAAGTATAAGCTTCCCTGGGCAACAGCATACTTCACCTACTTTGTCAGATGCTACAAACAGGAATGTAATGAAGTAGGCCAGTTCTCAACCTTTTCAGGGCCAGAACACCTCCACTTCTTTAAATGTGGTGGTACCCCTGGCTGAGGACCACTACTGGTGTTGTCTCCACATACCCGAGTGCTTCTCAGCCAGGTTCAGCTGGCTCCAGAATGAAACTGTCCCACATGCCTGCTGCACAGCCAGCCCAGGAGGCTGTGGCATGTGCATGTGACACTCCTGAATTAGGGCGCCCTGATGCACCTAAAGTAGCCATGCTGTGCAGCCCTATTTGGTCCATACCCAGGTGGGGAAGGAGAGGGGAAAGGATGAGAGGAGGCAGACCAGGAAGTTCTACACAACACTAGGCAGGTTTACTGCCTGCTTTAGGCTAGAGATCCCTAATGTAGTTGGAAAGTGTGGGGTGCTTTTATCTGGTTACTGCCTCTGCAGCACCTGAGGGGGCCTCATGGGACCCCCAGGGTGCTGCAGCACCCTGGTTGAGGACCAGTGAAATAGGTTATCACCTACAAAAGTTTACACCTCTCTAAACCAGTTAAGTCTCTAGGGCATACATCTTTTTGGACACAAAGCTCTCCTTGTTAGGCTCAAGGCACCCCTCAGGAAATGCCAGCTGTTAAATTTTCACTCATGTTTTGTCTATAGAAAAAACTATACAGCAATTTTTCTGTTGAAGAGACCACAACAGATCAGACTTTTTTTTAAACTATGGATTTTTGAAATCACTGGGTTTATGCTGGCACACCTAACAGTGCTAACATTGTGTGGGATCCTGTGGCACCCCTGAAAGGGTGCCACAACACCCTGGAGGAAAATCACAGATCTAAGGGAGTGGTTTTCAACCTTTTTTTGTACCAAGACCCATTTGTAAACATTGACAGCCAGTCCAGACCCAGTGCCCCTCACTCCCGACCCGCTACCCCCAGGCCCCAGTCCCCCTGTGTGTAGTACAGGGGGGATTCCAAGCAGCCCCTTGCAACCTGGAACTCTGCCAGCCTGCAAGAGAAAAGCCACAGTTTCCCACATTTTTTCTCCTTTAAAGGAGAATCCATTTTTTAAAGTCTACTGATCCACTTTTAAAGTTTGTTCACAACACTTTCATATACTCGTACAACCCACTTTTAGACCGTGACCCACAGGTTGAGAAATGTTGCACTAAGGTGCCACTGCCCTGCCTTTCGCCTCACTGTGAACTAACACAGCTAACCATATTTCTCTAATAATATGCAAAAAAAAAAAGAAGAGCGTTTAGTAGAGGTGCAGTGATACATCGGTCCAATATCGGATCAGTACCGATATAAAGAAAATTATCTATATTGGATATCAGCCTTAAGTGGCTGGTAACTGGGCCAATAAATGCCCGTGCTGTGCACAGCTGCAGCGCAGAACATAGGCAGTGAAGATACAGCCCGCAGCATGGAGAGCTGCCTGCAGATGTTAAGTCTGGGGGGGAGGGAGGAGGGAAGGGAAGGGATGTGGGGGGCAGATCAAGGCTCTGCTGAGAGGGAGGGAGAGAGGTAGGGGCTGGAGCTGGGGCAGAGGCAAGTGATGCCCAGTCAGGGAAGGTAGGTGGGGGATGAAGCTGCAGCTTGTCCGGGGGCATGGGATGGAGCAGGGCTTGTCCAGGCGGCATGGGAGAGGCAGCTCCTGCTGCCGTGCGTGGCTCATCTGCTGGCTCCCACTGCTGCTGCTGTCACTCGTCTGGAAGGGCACTGGGGGGGTATGTGCCTCCAGATCTGCACCAGGCAGGGTAGACTGGGGCCAGGCCTGTTCCCAGCAGAGCCTGAGCCGGGCAGGACAGGACGTGTGGCACTGCCGCTGGGAGGTGGCTACAGGGAGGGCTGCAGCCACCCCAAAATTCGCTGCAGCCCCCTACTCCCAGCAACAACACCACCTGCCCCATGCCCTGCCCAGCCCAAGCTCCGTGGGGAACAGCCCTGGCCCCAGCTCGCCCTACCTGGTGCAGATCTGCGGGCACATGCCTCCCCCCCACGCGCCTTCCCTTCCCCCTGCCCCCACCCCTTCTCCTAGGTAGGAGACATAGTGATGCAGGCAGTGTATTGGATATTGGATCGGTATTGGCCAATATGCCTCCTTAAATATTGGCTATCAGTATTGACTCAAAAATCCCTATTGGTGCACCCCTAGTATCTAGCTGTGTGTATCCACATGTTAGCTTGTGATTGGACAGTACAAAGAATAAATGCATGTACAAAGAGGTATGCCCTCGGGAGGGCTTTGGATTTGTGTACCCTGGCATTCCTCTCGTCTGTCAGTTAGACTGACCAGCAAACTGACAGTGAATAAAGCTACAGAAAAGGCTGCAGTAACTGGCATCTTACAAGTCGGCATGCTTAATGAACTGGCATGCTGACTTGTAAGATAAAAGTGAAACTGGAAGTGCCCACCATGGCACTTCCAGTTTCTCCGAGCCCCCACGACCCAGGGCAAAGCAGCCTGAAATGCCGAGCTCCCACAGCCTAGGGGCATAACAGGCTGTGTGGGGCCCACCTCTGTGTCCCACAGGACCCACGGGAGGGGCGGCAATGCTGTGGGAGTGCCAGAGGGATGCCCCAGACACAACGGGAGAAGCGGCAGCCCAGGCCACTCAATTAACTGGCATATTTTGTTATCCGGCATCCCCCATTCCCGGGGGATGCCAGATAAGAGAGCTTTTACTGTACTTGGTTTCTATTTGGTTTTATGCACTTGCAAAGCTGCAACACTGGGACTAGGAGAAGTCTTCCTGGAAGTTGCAATAGAAACAAATGCCAATTACACTTCATAAACTTTAGATCTATCTGTTCTACAAAGAAAAAACAATAGCTCTTTATGTGAAGCTCATTTAAAGAACCCATGTGTATTTATTTACAGATTATACAAACTGCCTACACAACATTGTTAAGCTACTAGTAGGGAACTGTTCCTGGGAATAAAACTGCAAGGATTTTCTGCATACTCCTTAGTAGTTTCAGGCTAATACAAGGAATTTAGAAAATGTCACAAGGCCTCTTCGAAAACAGATGAAGAAAGGAGGAAGTTATTATGAATATTACATTTACTTTAATACCCCAGGTTCAAATTTTTGTTTGTTTGTTTTACCTGCTGGACACCAACAGCAAAGACCTTCAGAAACACTTCAGCAAATTCATTATACTCCTTGGAAACATTACCAGGGCTACCATACCTATCATTGAAAGTAAAACAGAAATATTTTGCTTAATTTCATAAAGGTTTAAATAGGATTTTTTTTTAATGTAATAGTTGTGAAAGAAGAGTTACCTCTCAAAAAGTCTAGCCAAGATGTGCAAAGCCCATTTCTTGCATTTCCACCAAGGCAATTCAGGTCTATCATCTTCATCAACTTGAAGAGTTTCCTTTAAAAAAAAAGATATATTACTATTTAATAAAGGTAAGGATTTTTGTGTGTATTTTCTGAACCAACTTCATGGTTGAGACTGCCCTCTTGTCTTTCTAAGACTTTTCCAGGTTGCTATCTACTACTTATTCATGAAGTATGACATTTACAAGAAAATTATTTGGAACAAATGAACAACCTATCCCTTTCTGTGCTACTAGCTACAAAACATTCCTCTAGGCTCACAGAAATGTCAAACATACTGAAGTTGCAGAAATTAAAGCACATAATGTAGAGGCAGTATAAAAATGCTTGAATAAAATATTTCTTAAGAAAAATCCAAAATAACTCATGCTACCTACAAGCAACAGTGTATTTCAATCATTCTGTCCCTGCTTAAACACGTTTAAAATACCTTGCAGAAGAAAAATAGGTGAAAACTTTTAAATTTAAGAATTCAGAAGCAAATCATCAAATCTGTTTAAAAACCTGAAAAAACACAAATAGTACTTACAGCAGGAACATCTCTGTCCACGACAGTCTTTAAAATTTCTATCCACTCAGCCAGATTTTGCTGATTTATCAACTCTAGTGGTAACGTATACTATTACAAAAAATAAATGCAAAAAAAATCAGTATAAAACATTTTTAAAGAAATGTTGTTCCACTGCTTCAATTTTATATAATATAGTCATATACCAAAACTTTACTAAACATTTGCTGCATGGGGTTACTATGAACAGTCAGCAAGAAATAATTATAAGGTAACAATAGCTTTGTGAATTAGAGATAACCAGTTTCCTCATTAAAAACATAATAAAGAGATTGGGAAAAAGAATTATATTTCTTACTGCAAAACCACCAATCTTTCTAGCATCAGTATTAACATACCTCATCTCAAAGGGAAATTTACAGTGAATAGCATGTTAGTTCCACCTCCTTTTCAACAGTTAGGAAAGTCTAACATTGTAAAGCTCTACAGAAGTATTATACGTGCTTGTTCAGCCAATCTATACCCAGACACAATCTAGCTTTTTATACCAACCATTCTGTCTTACCAAGGAGTGATACTGATCAACTCCAAAAACGCTAGGCTCCAAGTATTTGTTGCCCAATTTCAGACTAGCAGAAAACAACCTGATAAATTCATAGCATTGGTTTTATTTATATGTTCTTGGCATGATTTTTGGTATTAAGTCCCACCACAGTTGACCACTGGTGGAAAAGGTCCTTGATGCAATCTAATCCAAATTAGAACATATGTAATTGTAGGGATGTAAATATTGTTTAAATAATTACCCACTTAAACTCCTCTAATGATATTGGTTAAACAGTTAACCAACACCACATACTGGGCACATGGGGCAGGTCTCCCAGGCTTCCTCCCCATCCTCTTGGGAACTTCTCCTAAAGTGGAGCCAGGCACTCCTGTGCTCCTTCCTGGCCCAGTGGTGGCAGCAGCAGCAGCACCAGGATATCCCTGCCTCTTCCTCTGCTGCAGCCAGGCTGTGGACCCGTCCCTTGTTCTTGCTCTCCCATCTGTGCTGCTCTCCATGCAAGGGGGAGTCTGCCCCGCACCACTCCAGCCTGACTGCCAACTGCACTGGACTGCCATCCCAGCTGCACTGCTGAGGCTGGAGGGAGGTGGACTGGCTCCGACCTGCCAGGACCAGATGCAGCACAGCAGGGGGGTGAGGAGGCAGCAGCAAACCACACCACCCACATGAAGTTGCAGGGGCTTTCCCTGCAGGGCCTTTCCCAGCCTGCTGTAGCTGTCACTATGTGACTGCAAGGGATTGGCTGCAACAGCAGTTGGGGGGGGGGGGGG